CCACCTGGTGGTTAACAACACTGACCACACTACTGCCACCTGGTTAACAACACACCAACTACTGCACCTGTTTAACAACACTACCACACTCTGCCACCTGGTGGTTAACAACACTGACCACACTACTGCCACCTGGTGGTTAACAACACTGACCACACTACTGCCACCTGGTGTTTAACAACACTGACCACACACTGCCACCTGGTGGTTAACAAACTGACCACACTACTGCCACCTGGCGTTAACAACACTGACCACACTGCACTGTGTTAACAACACTGACCACACTACTGCCACCTGGGGTTACAACACTGACCACACTACTGCCACTGTGTTACAACACTGACCACACTACTAGCCACCTGGTGGTTAACAACACTGACCACACTACTGCCACCTGTGGTTAACAACACTGACCACACTACTGCCACCTGGTGGTTAACAACACTGACCACACTACTGCCACCTGGTGGTTAACAACACTGACCACACTACTGCCATCTTGGTGGTTAACAACACTGACCACACTACTGCCACCTGGTGGTTAACAACACTGACCACACTACTGCCACCTGGTTGTTAACAACACTGACCACACTACTGCCGACCTGGGTGTTAACAACACTGACCACACTACTGCCACCTGTGGTTAACAACACTGACCACACTACTGCCACCTGGTGGTTAACAACACTGACCACACTACTGCCACCTGGTGGTTAACAACACTGACCACACTACTGCCACCTGGTGGTTAACAACACTGACCACACTACTGCCACCTTGGTGGTTAACAACACTGACCACACTACTGCCACATGGTGGTTAACAACACTGACCACACTACTGCCACCTGTGGTTAACAACACTGACCACACTACTACCATCTGGTGGTTAACAACACTGACCACACTACTGCCACCTTGGTTGGTTAACAACACTGACCACACTACTGCCACCTGGTGGTTAACAACACTGACCACACTACTGCCATCTTGGTGGTTAACAACACTGACCACACTACTCCCCACCTGGGGGGTTAAAACTGCCATACACTGCCTTTGGTGGTTAAACAACACTGACCACACTACTGCCCCCTTGGTTAACAACACGACCACACACTCCCATCTTGGTGTTTAACAACACTGCCCAAACCTTTACCATTTTGGGGGTTAACAACACTGCCACACTACGCCATTTTGGGTGTTTTAACCCCCTGACCCAACGGGCCACCTGGTGGTTAACACACTGCCACACTACTGCCATCTTGGTTAACAACACTGACCACACTACTACCATTTGGGGTGGTTAACAACACTGACCTCACTACTACCACGAAGGTGGGAAAGAAGTTAGGCATTAATTGGGCATGAAGGTTGGGCTGAAAGTGTCACGAAAGTGGGAACGAGGTGTCCGAAGGTGGGAACGAAGGTACGCATGAAGGTGGTCATAAAGGGTTTGGGCATGAAGGTGGGCAGAAGGTGGATGCGAAGGTAGTCACGAAGGTGGGCATGAAGGTAGGCACGAAGGTGGTCATGAAGGTGGGCACGAAGGTGGATGCGAAGGTAGTCACGAAGGTGGGCACAAAGGGTAGGCACGAAGGTGGCCATGAAGGTGGGCATGAAGGTGGGCATGAAGGTGGATGCAAAGGTAGCCCACGAAGGTGGGCACGAAGGTAGGCACGAAGGTGGTCATGAAGGTGGGCACGAAGGTGGATGCGAAGGTAGTCATGAAGGTGGGCATGAAGGTGGTCACATAGGTGGTCATGAAGATGGTCATGAAAGGGGGCATGCAGGTGGTCACGAAGGGGGGTAAACGAAGGTGGTCACGAAGGTGGGCATAAGGTGGGCACGAAGGGGGGCATGAAGGTGGCATGAAGGTGGTCGTGAAAGTGGGCATGCAGGTGGTCACGAAGGTGGGCAGGGAAATGAAGGTGGGCACAAAGGTGGGCATGAAGGGGGTCATGAAGGTGGTCATGAAGGTGGTCATGAAAGTGGGAAACCGGTGGTCACAAGGTGGTCATGAAGGGGACACGAAGGTGGGCTCGAAAGGTGGGCACGAAGATGGGCATGAAGGTGGGCACGAAGGTGGGTACAAAGGGGGGCACTAAGGTGGGCACGAAAGGGCACGAAGGTGGGATATTGTGATCTTGTGTCGTTGAGTCCCACTTGACTCTGGAACGTCAATATCAGTAAGTGTAAACTGTTTGATGTCCCAAAAGTTTCCTCACAATTATGGGGGAGGGGATGTTAATTGAGGACATTGAAAAATTTTCCCAACATAATTTCTCACAGTGCCTCTGCTCCCTCTCTCAGGACCCATGAGGAGATTTATCAGGCCCCATCACCTTTGAGGTATCTAGCTCGCTTAGCAGCCTCTTTACTTCTTCCTCGGCTGTAGTATTGTGTCCAACACTTGATGGCATACCCCACCTCTCCATCTTCCCAGAGTCCCTTCTGTCTGCAGCATAGTTGCTGATTCCCCTGTATATGTATATGTTATCTGATATCCCTAGTACCATCCATATGTTTTACAAAAGTTAACCCCTTGCTAGGCTCAGTGACTACACGTGTGACGTCATGTATGCCGCATGTGAGCGCTGTGCTCCCAGCCTTCTCCCTTGCCCTTGCTTGTTATAGCTTTATTTTTTCCAACCAGGGAGAGTCATCCACTCCACCTAGTTTTTTCATTCCTCCAATACGAAAGAACCGATCCCTTGTGGTCTGGTGTGATTCGATTCCTGCTCCAGGAAGATATTGTTCTGACTGTGAAGCCACCAGCACCCATTAGTGATTTTGTAATGAGCCAAAAATTACTGTATCGAACAGCCGAGTTGGGTACTCCAAGCAGAAGACTATACCAGTTAGTAATTCCACAGTCACTATGAATGTAGCCATATCTTTAGTAGATACTTATTCAGATCTCCCTCAATCAAGGCATGTATTAGCCATGCAAAGGAATTCGATCCTCCCAAAGATAATAACCATTCTGCATATGTAAATCTTACCCTCGCAGAGTTGGGTTTAAATGTACATAGCCTGTATAATTAAATGTCCAAGATGAATGAAGTTGTCAACTGTGTGTTTTGTTATTAGCTGATCAGTTTTCAGAATATTTTTTTTTTTTTGTTCACGTTCCCTCCGAATTCTGAGAATTTAGACAGTAATGATCTGTGCGTGTCAGATGTCTTTGCTGTTAATTACTTTCACCTTTGTAAATATATATTCTTCCTCAGAATCCATAGAGTGCATGAATACAGATTGATCGATCAATTCCATCCTTTATTATAATATGATTTGTTCTTATAATCGTAATGTATTATGATACCACCCATTACATGCCCATCCATTAGTTTCTAAGTTACATATGACTTTGCTATTGTATAGAATCAGCCCAGAGCCACCTGCCTGTTCAGCCTATAGCATAGTATTGTATGTCAAGACGACATATGTAACATGACCGAGCTGTCAGCATAGTTTGCTGATCCCTGTATATGAATATGTTATCTGAGTATCATATTACCATCCATATGTTTTACATAGTTGACCCCTTGCTAGGCCAGTGACTAGCATGTGTGACGTCATGTGATGCCACATGTGAGCGCTGCACTCCCAGCTGTGTCCTCACCTCTGCACTTAGGTCTACGAACAGGCAACACAGGCAGTCTGGGCTCCCCTCTCACACTCTGCTAATATAAGTGTTACCATCCAACAAGTGTGTTTCACTCCAACCATCACATCTCCAAGAACCCTCCAACATGTCTCCTCTGTGAACACTTCTTTGAATCTCACGTTGAGCTCCTCGCATACTTTGCGGTAGTTTCATGTGATCTCCCCTCCTTCCTCAACCTGATTACCTGGTCTTTGACTGTTGTTTTCCTCCTTACGTGGATGTACAACAGCTTCGGGTCAGATTTGACTTTCACTGCTATGGCACTTTCATGCATATTCGTTTCTGGCTCTACGACTGCTCTCCTTATTCTCCTGGGTCCTTTGCGTTCTATACTTCTTCCATTCTCTATCACACTTGGTTTTGGCCTCTCTACACCTTTGAGTAAACCAAGGGCTCATCCTAGCCTTCTCGCTATTTCTGTTACCCTTGGATACAAACCTCTCCTCAGCTTCCTTGCATATTTTTGTCTCATATTCCATCAACTCATTTACTGACTTCCCTGCCAGTGCTCTGTCCTCCTAAACTTTGTGCAGGAAATTCTTCATGCCTCTGTAGTCCCCTGTCTTGTAGTTTGGCTTTGTTTGTCCTGCCCTTCCTGTTTCCCTCTGCACTTGTAACTCTAATATGCATTTGAAGCTTAAAACCACGTGACCACTGGCCCCGAGGGGTCTTTCATATGTGATGTCCTCAATATCTGCATTACTCAAGGTGAATACTAGGTCCAGCCTTGCTGGTTCACCCTTTCCTCTCTCTCTCTGGTAGTGTCCCTTACGTGTTGGTGCATGAGGTTTTCCAGTACCACCCCCATCATCTCAGCCCTTGACGTTTCTGGGCCACCATATGGCCCCAAGTTCTCCCAGTCAATTTCTTTGTGATTGAAGTTACCCACAATCAGCAGCTTTGTCCTGCTAGCATGAGCTCTTCTGGCCACTTCAGCCAGTGTGTCAACCATCGCTCTGTTACTTTCATCATACTCCTGTCTTGGCCTCCTGCTGCTGTTCTGTGAGTGTGTGTGTGTGTCAGTGTATTTCACTGAGACTTTTCTTTAATCTTTGTTTGATCGATCAAAGTACTCTTGACTGTTGGTGAATAGGTTATATGCAGCCTCAATGACCCTAATGGCTTGAAATCCTCGCCCATTTAACCAAAATAAATGATTTGATGAAAAGGATCTCAGATGGAGGTTTAAATATTCAGATTATATATCTTATGTGCATTTGTCAAAAGCTTATTTCTTGCCTGTATACCTCTCATCAGTGCATATACTTAAGAGATAGTGTTTACAACACCGTGCTAAGCAAGTAAGAGCGTCCGTGTCGTTCCCTCAGAGTGCGTGTTCGGCTACGACTTCGAACGCACTTACTTCCAGGAGACAGCTTCCACGCAGTTTGAATGGGCGTGTGGGAGGTCTACGGGCGTGCAGAATATTCTTCGCGCCTCCATGCTGGGCAACCTCTTCGGCTGTGTCATCTACGGTGCTTTGGCGGACAGGTGAGTTCTCATGCTATCTCTCCTCCCATACTAACCCATACAACTCAGCCATGAGAGTTCTGAATACGACGATTTTACAACCAGCTCTTCTACGACTTTGGTGTCACAGCATCCATCGTTGTTGTATCACCGTACACTCTCATCCCACATCTTTCATGCTATATCCATTTTGTAACCCCCCCATACCAGTATAGTCTATTAACCCAATGAAGAATGGATGTGGACTTGAACTGTGGTCCATGTGAGTATCAACTGTGGTCCATGCGAGTATCAACTGTGGTCCATGTGAGTATCAACTGTGGTCCATGTGAGTATCAACTGTGGTCCATGCGAGTATCAACTGTGGTCCATGTGAGTATCAACTGTGGTCCATGCGAGTATCAACTGTGGTCCATGCGATTATCAACTGTGGTCCATGCGAGTATCAACTGCGGTTCATGCGAGTATCAACTGTGGTCCATGCAAGTATCAACTATGGCCCATGCGAGTAACAACTGTCCATGCGAGTATCAACTGTGGTCCATGCGAGTATCAACTGTGGTCCATGCGAGTATCAACTGTGGTCCATTCGAGTATCAACTGTGGTCCTTGCGAGTATCAACTGTGGTCCTTGCGAGTATCAACTGTGGTCCTTGCGAGTATCAACTGTGGTTCATGCGAGTATCAACTGTGGTCCATGTGAGTATCAACTGTGGTCCATGTGAGTATCAACTGTGGTCCATGCGAGTATCAACTGTGGTCCATGCGAGTATCAACTGTGGTCCATGCGAGTATCAACTGTGGTCCATGCGAGTATCAACTGTGGTCCATGTGAGTGTTACGTTGGTTTGTCCCTTATTACTTTGATAGTAAGGTTCTCACTACATGTTCTAGTGTGGGGTAGCTTTTACTTAATGGCCTTATTTGTCTAGGGGTAATACTTACATCATGGCTGATCATCCTGAGTGTCTCTGATACCCTTTCACCAGCCCTCTTCACAGGTTATGTAAACTACTACTATAAAAATATAACTGTATTCTCAATAGATATGTACAGAATATACAATTACAGCCTCACATTTTCAAAACAACGATCTACACACTGCATAGCTGTTCTCCCACATGGTGTACCTTATTAACTTTTGTCCTTCTCTCTTGACATAACTCTGGCTAACCAGTGTTTTGACACACTTTAGTCACCCTGGTATGGTGGCCACAACTTAAATTATAAAAACTCACCCCTGGAGCACACATGATGCCCCAAAAGATAGGAGAAGGACCCAGAGATCCTGCCAGGTTGAAGGTCAGCCACAGAGAGAGAGAGTCAGTGAGAGGGAGAGAGAGAGAGAGCCTGGCTAAGCTCCTCCCACCAAAACAAAAGACTGTTGCCAAGCACAATTCTCCAGTTACCACAATTCTACCACACCTTAATTTTACTTTTACAAAAAGAAATACAACTTTATAAACTACTTATTTAAATTGTGTGTTTATGTGTCTATAGTATAACCTATTATATTGAGAAAAAATAGGTTTGACCCAGCTGCCTCTCAGTCATAAGGTTGATCAGTCCTTCTGACATTTAGAGCAAAGTCCCCATCAATTCAATATAATTAGGTATTTCAGAGTAACTGCTACTTATAAATACATGTTGGGTCCTATAGCCCCATAACACCCCCACCTCCAGACGAAGTCTCACAAAAGCTAGCCGTGTCCCTCAGGATACGGCTAGTAAAAAGTATATTGCTTAAGTCTGAAGGCGGTAAACAAGACTATTAGAAATGCTACATATTTCCTAGCACCATAACTACTCTTCACTTTACTGTTATTTACAACAGATTGCAGAATTTTATATAAAAGCATTTTAACCATACCCATATACTCAAGGGTGTAACTATTTACAATTTTAGTGACTTTTAAACAATACACATTACAATGCAAAATTTGCACACAATGCCCACTGTGAAAGCCCGCACCAACAGGCCTGTGCCTCTGCTACGGTAATCCAGCAAGCAACTGGTACTCCAGGGTGCATCTTCCTGATCAGGAGACGAGAGTAGAGCCAAACCCAGAGCAGTCAGGTGTACACCAGGCAGGAACTTCACAAAACATGTCAAGGTGTCTCTCACTTGGTGGCCGAACCAAACAGTGAGACTTCCAGTCAACACTCACGATCCTTAACATGGTCAGGCACTTAAGCCCATCTTCCGAGGTCCCACTCCACACAGATCCTCCAAACTTATGAAGAGGAGGCTGACATAGAATATGGAGGGGTCCAGGGGACCACAAAGGCAAACCGTCAGGCCGTGTTTTGTATATAGAGCACACCAAGACACAACATCACGTACCTTCCTGAACGTCTCATGTTACCGAAGGTTGTCAACCACTGCCTCAACTCACATTTACGTACACCCTGACCCTCGTCACACTTTTGGCTCTGACTCGACCCCTTCACAGTCAGATGGCTGGTAGAGAGTACTCAGGCTCGCTGAGAGTTCACCACTGCACAAACAAGGTCAGCACAAGACAAACACTATGTACAAAGTACGCACCATGCATCTACATGAAACATCTAGAGAGAGCATCAGCAACCACATTCTCTGAGCCTTTTATATATATGACTTCCAAATTAAAAGGCTGTAGGAACAAAGCCCATTTTAAGAGTCTGATTTTAGTCACTATACACAGGAACAGGATGAAGAGATCCTGAGACATGTACAAATGCTGAATAGCCAGCCCCAAAATGAAAATTTTCTTTCCTGTGGTAAAATGTTAACATTTAAACTTAGAAGGTTGTTCATAGACAGTAACAGTTCTGCAACCTCTCGCAGTGCAACAACAAATACCAAAGACATCTCTTTGCACCCAGGTTGGATACATCAAGTTTACACAAACACCATCACGTTCCATCTCACACAAATTTTAAACACACAATGAACACAATTTGCATTACACACATTAAAATGGTGCTTGAACACAGACCATGGAAATCACATCTTCCATGTTTTAGCTTATTTAAAATGTTTGCATCTTTTAGTGCATAAGTATCAATCTTTCTAATTCTGTAAACCTTAGTTGTTAAACGTACTCTGTGGTAGTCAGTGTTTATGCCCAGGGTGCCATCTAATTTGGGAACCATGAAGCATGGGAATGCCCACTGACTCTCACTAAGCACTACAAACTGGTGTTGGAAGAATTTCACTCCTTCCTCCATCTCCAATTTTTCATACAGATTTTTCCCACACAAAAATTGTTGAATTGGCTCAGTTTCCTTAACAATTTCCTCATGGAGTTTCAACTTTTCCCCCCTTACTGACATCTCAAACTTTTATAAAGTTCCAAGGTGGCTGAGCCAACTCTCCAACATTTTTCTCATTAAAACCAAGCATGCATTTCCCAAAATCTTTTACACACATGTTATTTCTTAAATACGCTTTTGGTATTAAATACAGATTATTGTTTTGCAGCCCTTTACATTCCATTAAAACATTGGTCTCTCTGAATTTTTGACATAACTTCCAACCCTTTAACCGGTTACTGTGTACACTATACTCATTCTTTTCTAGCTTGGGGGTGTGGGTTTTATATCTAACCCCTGGGAACTTCCCCCACAACATGTTCAGCTCACAGCAACTTGCCATTCAGATTTTTACATGAATTGGCTCCAGTATCAGCACTTCCTCTCCAGCCTCCAGAGTATCATGGTCCACATTATGGTCCCACATCATCATCCTGGTCTGGTTGATGGGCACGTTCACTGGTACCATCCACCTCATACGAGTCAAACAGTGTCTGAAACTGAGAAAAAGCTCCGAGGGGGGAGCATCACCATCCTCCCCAAGCCAATAGCTCAGAGATTCCAGAGTGCTTCCCCACTCAGCAAATACAAAGAAAGGGATCCTCTCATCCCAGTTGTTAGTATTGTCTATACCATAGGCTTGCATCATTGTCTTGAGAGTTTGATGTAATTTCTCTATTTCCCCTTGAGATGGAGAGTGATACACAGTTGAACACTGAGGCTCTACTTTTAGTCCCTTCAAAACATTTCTAAAAGACTTTGAGGTAAAGTTAGGCCCTTGGTCTTTTTGCACTGCTTGCGGAAAACCAACATGAAAAAAGAACTTCATCAAAGCCCTTAAAACTACACGAGCCATTATCTTATGCAGAGGGACTGCTTCCAGGTACCTGGTAGTGGAGCAAATATTTGTGAGTAAATAATCATTTCCCAGTTTGATCCTTGGGAATGGACCAAGTACATCTACTACCAGCTTGCTGAAGGGTTCACCTGGTGCTGAAATAGACTGAAAGGGAACAGGTTTAATACTTCGACTAGGTTTCCCTATAAACTGAGAGACATGATAGGTCTCAATATACTTTCTGACAGTCTCCCACAGCTGAGACCAGAAGAAATGCCTGGAAACCTTGGACATCACCATCTGGGGACAAAACCCTTGTTCTCCTTCCATCGATACTGCAAATAGAGGTGAATTCTTTGTAAGAGTTTCCTCCCTGAAATGAAAACACTTATTTAACTGTAACATCTTTTCCTCAGCAACAGCGACATTTTCCTGCACAGAAATTAATTGCACCCTAGTAGGTGCAGCCTCTCTCACGCTATTTAACTGATCCATTCTCCAATCATGCTCAGCTCTGGCTGGATCATCCTTTTCTTCAGTTGACTGCAGTTCAACATCAGAAAGCAGAGTTACCAAACTTAAGCCCTCACCATCCTCATGAGAAATATCATGAAGACTGTTGGTAGCATGATCATGAGCCATACTTCTCATGGTGGAACCATCAGGGAGAAGGTCTGGCAGGGTTTTCCTAGCCATTTCCTCCCAACATTTGGGATTTGGTTTCCCCCAACCTAGTTGTTCCTCACTGTCTAACAGACCCATAACATTATTCCCTAATAAGAGGTCGACCCCTTCGAAGGGAATTTCATCTGAGATACCTACAGGGAGATAGCCAACTTGGTATGCAGATTCTACCCATAATTTGTGTACTGGTGTCCTTATGGTTGAA